GAGAGAGAGAGAGAGAGAGAGAGAGAGAGAGAAGAAAAACAGTTACGGGGAGAGAGAAAAAGGAGGGAGAAGGGAAGGGAGGCGCGGGAAGGAGCGATGCGGGGGACAGAGAGGAGAAAGCTCTGCATACGCGGCGTCAAGAAAAAGGCACCGAAATAGTTACGGCTTGCTTCTATCCTAATTCAAAAATTGAAATCACCATATCCGCGAGCGGAAAGCGACGCGGGAAAAGAAAATCCTACGCCTATTCGTATTCACGCAAAATTCCGAGAGTTTTCCCCTACGCGTCCAAGAACATACACACACTCAAAAAGGACACATCGAAGTTCCGCTTATCCCGGAATTCCCGACTGCCGAGCCCAATTCCCAGTGCGCTCTCTAAGGCGCACGTAAATTCCCATGTATTTCCCGACTTTGCGAAAAGGAAAAACAGAACCCAGAAGTTGAAAAAGCTTTCAGAAAAAAAAGAAAAATGCGGCATCCGAAAACAAGAAATCGAAACGGGTTTTTTCTGGGGTTGGTATGATACAAGCAAAAGAAGGGGTACGGAAGATGGCACGGGTTCGGGAAGTGGTTCGTCACAGTCGTCCCGGCAGCAACCCTTGGTTGTCCCATGGAAAGCCCACCCCAAGACATCCCCAGATCTCTCTACCAGACCTCACGCTCCTGCATCACAGGTTACAGGGCAACAACCCAGCACTGGTCAGCGTCGTTCTGGCATCGAACAACCGCAGATCACTGAGTATAACAGCATTGAAGCCACCTAAGACGAGCGCCTCTACTACTCTGTCGGGCGAAAATTCCGTGCTTCACTTATGTTTCCCTGCCGAGGTCGTAGGAGGCTTTCCACCGTCATACAGAAAACCCAACGAACTACATGCCATGTGGCTCAAGGGCCGCCTTAGGCGAGTCAACGGAAATCACCTCGAATGGCGGTATTGATAGTCAACCTGGCCGTCATCTACGACAATACAGGCCTTTGCACGTGTGCACGCAGTGCGTGCGACCATGGTAATCAAAATTTTAATCTCTCACTACCTCGCACTGCTGTGCGAGGTCACTGGCCACCCTTCCATTTCGTGGACCCGCCAACCATCTGGTTAATCAACACGTGCCTGAAAATGCGCCCCACACACTCTTTGACCTAACCATGGGCATGCTGACCGTTCTGGCTACTAAGAGTTGGTTGCGAGCTGCACATAAATAAATGTGCCACTTTCTCAACTATCATCACAGTTGGGTCTTGTGCGAGACGCAAAAATACTCACAAATACCCTTGTAAAGGTATTCATGCCTACAGTGCAACACTCTCAGTGCACCACCACATGAGGCAAGAGGTTTGAGGGTTGCAATTGTCCAAATGTGGAATTATTCCAAATGAAAACAAAGCATTCACATCCAGTGTGGTTTTCTGGGAATAGGCAAAACGGAATGCGTTTAGGCATTGTACAGGAAACGGCTTTGCCAGATAGGCTGGAGAACAGAGCTACGAAGTCTTGCTTGCAGTTGTTTTTAATCACAAACACTCCGGGGCCTGAGGAATGGATTTTTAGTACCTACTACTTGGGAAGAAAAAGAGTAAGAGGGGATAGGGAGACGGAAATGTTACAGGCATTTCATTGAACTGATTTCTTGGGAAAGTGAGGGATCATTCAATGGCCAAGGGATCACTCAATGGCCATTGGACACCACACCATCTTCCAAGGCATGAAACTACTGGCAAGACACAGGGCTAAAATGGATGCATGTCCCGATTGTAACGGCTGTGTAGTGTGACTATCAGAGGGATAGACTTGACCTGTGGGTGTGTTGGGGGCTCTGAAGAAATAAACCAACAATGGTATTCTAATTTTGGGGGCAAGCCAGCGGTTGCAGTGCAGTCAGACGCAGTATACTCTTGGTACAGATATAACCTCACCTCCGAGGGCATAACGATATGCGGTGGGAAGAGGGCATGGACGTAGAAGAGGATAAAGAAGAGAATAGCGAACTTGCAGGAATGCCACGGTATAGTCCCAGGAACTGGGGTATACAAGGCTCACGTTAGAGGCTGGGAAAGACGCCTCCGAAATTGAACTGGCGACCCTGGCACGGCAAACCGACCTGCACATAGCGAGTGTATACTACTGGGAGTGCAAACCTGGGAAGCAACGCAAACCAGTGGGGAGGTGGTACACACACCTATACAGAGCAAGTATGCGAAGGCCAGCCAAAACACACACACACACTCCACAGACACTGTGGCAAGGCCGCATGAGTGCGAAAGCCGTACCAGACACGGCGAGGGAATTTTTGTTTTTCTGTATGCATTTTTTATCCTTACGGCCATAGCCCCGAGGGTTCTGGAGATGACAAGAGGAAGACGGGAACTTCGGGGAGTCCACAGGATATGATAGGCCAGATGACAAACGTGGGAATTGGGGCGCAGCTTATGGATTCCCCGGCTGCCAGGTGACCTCCGAACCAACCACGTAGCGGGTGTCTACAATAGGTGCCGGTTCCAGACCGGGAAAAATAAGGGACAGGAAACGACCACAAAAAAAAGCAAAAAAAAAACAAAAAAAAAACGCTATGTTGAACTCCAGAAAAGGCGGGAGGAGAGAGCTGTTCGTACCCCCCCCGCCCTCCCTCCCCCCCCCAGGGCCACTCGCCCGGAAAGCGAGCTGCTTTTATTTTTAACTCCTGTTTTATTTTTATCTCTGTGCTGTTTGGTTCGCACTTGACGGGACCGTCGCATTCGCGTTATGTCCGCGCTCCCACCCCTTCTGCCTCCCCCTGCTCGCGCTCCCCAATGGTCTTGCCGGCGTGGACGCCGAATACGTGCGCTCGCTCCCCTTCCCTGCCCGACCCTGTGCGCGCCCAATCGCCGGCCAGTTGTTAAGACCAGTCAGCCGGCCAGCACTGCCTGGTAAGGCAGGCTGTGCGCCTGTCCGTGTGCCTGATCGCCCTGCTCTCTCTCTCTCTCTCATCATTCCTTCCTCGACTGAACTCCTGTGCGCCTTTCCGTCGAACTCCCGCGCGAGACGAGAGTTCCGCAGTCCCTCGTTTCCCCTCCATTCGCCCAAACCCGCCCAAACCGCGGTTCGTCGAGTCGACAATTGCATGCTTACGGTAGTCGAGTCGAATCGGTCCTCGAATCGGTTCCAGAACAGAATAGGACGATCTTGAACCGTGTAGCATTTGAGCAGTATCGGATTCTCTTTTGGTTTGAGCGGGAGAGTCGGTGGGGAGAGTAGAGTGTAGTGGGGTCGGGTGCAGTGGCCTGGAAGTGGCGGGGAGTTGGGGGGGGTGGGGTGGCGTGAAGTGGCGTGGAGTTGGGGGGGGTGGGGTGGCGTGAAGTGGCGTGGCATCGCCAGAGGGGAAAAGAGGTTCGTGCCACATTGCGAAGCGCCGCGGAGACACGGAGAGAGAGACGACCAAGGATGGTGTCAGGTCACGTAGGGGAACAGGGCAGGAGAAAGGAAAGAGAGAGAAGAGTGCCGTGTTAACGTCGACAGGGCGAGGGAGAGAGAGAAGCCGGGGCAGGGGGGGGTGCAGGGGCCAATTCGCGCGGGGTGCATGCAGGGGCGTTGTCGAAAGCGCTGGACGGGGCGGGAAGGAGTTCTCGAGACAACCGGGATGTCCGGAAAGCGGGGAGAGAAACCAACCACCATGATTGACCACCCCCTGTCACCTTAGGAGTTCGGAATTTCGGGAGGGAGGGAGGG